AAACATTCCATTGATTGATGCTTTGAAGCAAATGCCAAAGTAATACAAGCACCTAAAGTAGTAAGTCTCGAACAAGCCAAGGATTCATGATTCATCATTCATAACTTTGAATGAGGAGTGCAATGCAACTATTCTGAAGAATCTGCTAGCAAAGCTCAAGGATCCAGGGAGTTTCACAATTCCCTGCACTGTCGGTAACACTAAATTTAAGAAAGCTTTGGTAGATTTAGGAGCAAGTATTAACTTGATGCCTTCTCTATTTTCAATGCACTTAGAGCCAGTGATATAATTGTGCCTACTAACATTACCCTACAGCTAGCTGATAGATCCCTTACATATCCAAAAGGTATTTTGAATAATATCTTAGTCAAAGTTGGATCGTTCATTTATCCAGCTGACTTTGTTGTCTTGGATATGGAAGCGGATAAGGATGTCCCTATCATTTTGGGCAGACCTTTCTTGGCAACTCATGATGCTATCACAGAAGTAAGAAAAGGGGTTGTCACGTTGCAGTTTGATGGAGAGAAGGTGATATTCAACATCTTCAACAATATGAAATTTCCTGCAGAAATGCAGAAGTGCATCAAGATAGATGCTGTGGAGGAGACTACTGAGCAAGTCTCTACACAGGTACTAGAGTCTGATGAATTGCTTAAAATACTAATTGATGTTGAATAGATACAAGACATACAGATGAGGACTCAGCCATGACATGGCTAAGTTACTTAGACCACTCTACGAAGTGGCCTCATAGAAGTCAGCCCGCAGAGCTGTTGGATCTAGCCAAGGAAGGAAAAACTTATAAACCTTCTTTGGAAGAACCACCCACTCTAGAATTGAATCCAGTGCCTACACATCTCAAGGTATGTGTATCTGGGAGATAAAGAAACTTTGCCTGTGATCATCTCAGCATCACTGACTGAGATAGAGGAAGAGAAACTAATGAACGTTCTTAGGATGCACAAGGAAGCTATAGGATGGACCATAGCTGATATCAAAGGCATCAGTCCTTCCATCTGCACTCACAAGATCCTGCTTGAAGAGGAAGCAAAGCCAAGTATAGAAGGTCAAAGGAGGTTAAATCCAGCCATGAAGGAAGTAGTAAAGAAAGAGGTCATCAAGTTATTAGATGCATGGATCATATACCCTATATCTGTAGTACTTGGGTAAGCCCAGTCCATTGTGTTCCAAAAAAGGGAGGGATGACAGTGGTGAAGAATGATCAAGATGAACTCATTCCCACCAAAGTGGTTAATGCTTGGAGAGTTTGCATGGATTACAGATAACTCAACAAGGCATCAGGAAGGATCACTTTCTACTGCCATTCATTGATCAAATGCTGGACAGACTAGCTGGATATAGCTACTATTGTTTCATGGATGGATATTCAGGGTACAAACAAATTGCTGTTGCAGCAGGGAACCAAGAGAAGACCACATTCACATGTCCTTATGGAACTTTTGCTTTCAGAAGGATGCCATTTGGTCTATGTAATGCACCAGCAACATTCTAGAGTTGCATGATGGCTATCTTCTCAGACATGGTGGAAGACATCATTGAGATTTTCATGGATGACTTCTCTATGTTCGGGATGACTTATGAAGAATGTCTGGAAAACCTGAGTAAGGTGTTGCAAAGGTGTATTGAGACTATCAGGTCTTAAACTAGGAGAAATGCCATTTTATGGTGTCAGAGGGCATTATTCTAGGCCATAGAATTTCTGAAAAGGGCATTGAAGTTGATAGAGCCAAGATAGAGGTGATACAGAAGTTCAGTCAACCAATAACACTTCGTGGAGTGAGAAGCTTTCTTAGCCATGCATGCTTTTACAGAAGATTCGTCAAAGACTTCTCAAAAATATCCAAGCTCTTGTGTAATCTTCTGGAGAAAGATGCTGCATTCATCTTTGATGAATCCTGTGTAAAGGCATTTGAGGAGCTCAAGGAGAAGCTCATTTTTACCCCTGTGATAGTCACACCTGATTGGACTCAGCCATTTGAAATAATGACTGATGCCAGTAACTTTGTAGTAGGAGTTCTACTAGGTCAGAGGAGGAACAGAGTGTTGCATGTTGTCTACTATGCAAGCAAGACTCTGAATGTAGTCCAGATCAACTATTCAACCACTGACAAAGAGATGATGGCTATAGTGTTTGCTTTTGACAAATACAGATCCTACCTGTTGGGGATGAAAGTCAGAGTATACACTGATCATGCAGCCATTAAGTATCTGGTTACAAAGAAAGATTCAAAGCCAAAGTTGATTAGGTGGGTTTTGGTGCTCCAAGAATTCGTCCTGGAGGTGAGAGACAGAAAGGGCATCGAAAACCAAGTAGCAAATCATTTGTCAAGGCTGGAGAATGCACCAGAAGATCCTGAGCTAATTGTTGAAGCATTTCCTGATGAGCGACTTTGGCATGTGATAGTGCCACTTACCAGAGTATTCAAACAGAGGCCATGGTTTGCTGACTATGCTAACTATGCTGTCTCTAGGATTATACCTGAAGGACTTAGCTGGCAGTAGAAGAAGAAGTTCATCCATGATGCAAAGCAGTACTACTGGGATGAACCCATCTTATTTAGAAGGTGTGCGGATCAGCTGATCAGACGATGTGTACCAAAATCAGAAACATCTGCAATTCTAGAGAAGTGTCACAACTCACCCTATGGAGGACATTATGGAGGCCAAAGAACTGCTCCTAAGATACTACAATCTAGTTTCTTTTGGCCTACTTTACATAAAGATGCTAGAAGTTATGTGCTTAGCTGTGATAGATATCAGAGAATAGGAAATATCTCCTGGAGGAATAAAATGCCAAAGGAAAAGATCCTAGAAGGAGAACTCCTTGATGTGTGGGGCATAGACTTTATGAGACCCTTTGTGTCATCTTTTAGTCACACACACATTCCACTTGTAGTTGATTATGTTTCTAAGTGAGAAGGTGGTGTTGCAGTTCATTCCAGTGATGCTAAAACAGTCATCGGGTTCTTGAAAAAGAACATGTTCTCTCGTTTTGGTACTCCAAGAGCCATAATCAGTGATGAGGGTTCTCATTTCTGCAATAGAGCTTTCACTAAGCTGATGACTAAGTTTGGAATCAAGCACAAAGTTTCTACATCTTATCATCCACAGTCCAATGGTCAAGCAGAGGTATCAAACAGAGAGATAAAAAGGATATTGGAAAAAGTAGTCAGTAGTTCAAGAACTGACTGGTCTGCTAAGCTTGATGATGCTCTCTGGGCATATAGGATTGCTTTCAATACTCCAATTGGCATGTCTCCATTCAAATGAGCGTATGGAAAAGTATGACACCTTCCTGTTGAGTTAGAACACAAGGCATATTAGGCCTTGAGGGAGTTGAATTTGGATCCAAAAATCAGCTGGGAGCATAGGCTTCTGCAACTGACTGAATTGAAGGAATTTTGGTAGGAAGCCTATGAGTCTTCCAGAATCTACAAGGAGAAGTCAAAAGGATTCTATGACAAAAAGCTGGTCAAGAAGCAGTTGGAGGTAAAACAGTTGGTTCTACTTTACAACTCTAGGTTGAAACTCTTCCAGGGTAAGCTGAAATCCAGATGGGCAGGCCTTACAATATCAGCAAGATTCTGAGCCAAGAGGCAGTGGAGCTGATGTACCTTCAAACATGGAGCACATTTCTGGTGAATGGACAATAGCTGAAGCCGTATTTGGAAGTACACTCTGAAGGAGAGTAGGACAATCATGTCTTATCACTCCATGATCTTGAATAAAAATCTTCAGCACAGTGTGGCATTATATAAACTGTTGCGCTACTTGGGAGGCAACCCAAGAACTTTTGTTCCAACCCTATCTTTTGTAGTATTTTGTATTTGTATGTAATATTCCAACCCATATGGAGAGCAAAATTCAGAAGGAGTGATGACCAATATCTCACTAATATTGTGGAAAGAAACAGGATCAGCACTCTGAAAAATGGATGGCCACTTCCATAAGTCAGTTCCTGACTTGCAAAAGGCATTTTGTTTTTTTTTTTTTCACAATGCAAGTCTGACTTTGACTTAGGAATTGATCTTGACTTAAGCTTGGGAGGGAAAATGTCGATTTGGGTAAGTGTGTTTTGGTGGCCAGAAAGGCATCTTCCTTTCTGCGCCTTGAATGACCATATGTGGGGAGTTGTTACCTTTAACTGCAACACCCACGCCCCTAGGTCATAAATATCTACCCTTTGGCTTACCCTGCAAATATTCTCCTTCGTTCCAAAAATTCTTCCTGCAACCAACCAACAATTCTGCAGGCGCTCTTCTCCTTTCTGACCCTTTAGAAACCTCCATCGGTTCACTTCCACCTTACAGATCTGTTTCTTAGAGAGAAAGATCCAATATTTTGCCCACAAACCATGGTGAACAAAAAGCAAAGTGCCATAAAGAGAGGGACCAACAGACACTTGGGGATTGGTATTGCATAACCACCAATCACAAAGCCAAGGCAACCCACCAGGGCTCAACGAGAAGTTGCAGAGGCAGCCCTTCAAGTGGATAGAGATCCAAATTTTTATGGCACTAATGAGGCTTGGACCTTTTTTCACCAACAACAGGAACCGCAAGTTCATTGTTGAAAGAGGGATTTTGGAGGATTCCTCTCAGATGTACATCTTCTTGCACTACTGGACGAAGCTCTGCAATCGCACAATGAAACCAAGATTGCAAGTGGTGAGAGAATTTTTTAGCAATCGGGTTTCTGCGGAAGAGGATGTGGTTTATGTTAGAGAGAGGCATGTGAACATCTCCACTGCTGCAATTAGGGAAATCCTGGGGCTAGGAATCAAAGAGATTGATTATGTGAAAGCCCTGGAAGCCCTTCATCCCAATCAAAGTTTGTCTGAGGTCCTTCTGCACAAATTGTGCAAAGATCAGGAAAATCTTGAATGGACTCTGAATATGGAAGGGGCCCCTGATTCATTCCTGTATACATGGGTGAAGCCTGAGAACAATGTTTGGTTGAAGTTCATCACCACCACCATCATGCCTATTCAATACAGTCAGGTGGCCACATATGAGCGTGTTTTGATCATATATGCTATTGTCTCTTCCACTCCATTTGACATGGCTACGGTCATTAGAGATCAAACTACCAGGTGCATCACAGACTCAGCAGTCCGGAGTTGGTTTTTCCCTGTCTTAGTGACAATGGATTGTGCTAAGGCAAATGTAAGGTTTGTCCCTGCTGACCTGCAAGAAACCATATCTTGTCCATGGAGTTTACAAGGATTGGCCAGAGAACCACCACCAAGAGAAGAGCCACCAGAAATTACTGGAATCAGGAAGAAGCACTTCACTAAACAACAAAAGTACATCATGAATTATATCCATCGATTAGCTGTGAGGCAAGAGGAAATGCTCCGGCACATCCATGACAAAACAGGTTGCGAAAGTGATTGCCCAAAACCACAAGGTCCACCACCTCATCCCTTTGAAGGGATGAATCCATAAGTCACTAGGGAGTCTTTAGTTTTCTGTTGTTTCTTTTTTTTTTTTTTGTCTTTAGTTTTTTTTTTCTTGTTTTTGGTGGTGTCTGTCAATTCTCTTCATCTCCTATTCCATTTTCTTTTTGCTCAGCATTGACGGCCATGCTGGATTTTAAGTTTAGGGGAGGGTGTGAAGAGAATTCTGTCTGATTAGGGGATAGTTTTTAGAATCAGTCTGTGTCCCTGTTTCTCTGTTTTTCTGTCTTTTGAGTCTTTTTATTTGGGCATTTGCCTTGTTTTTCTATTTTTGTATCCCTCTCTCTGATCCAGTTTGTCTTTCTGTCTTTCTGTGTCTAGAAGCTCGGAAATGCATGTCTAGTAGATAGTCAATCGTCGATGATGAAAACAAATTGAATCCCAAAATTTGTGTTAACACTTGTTTAGAACTGTCTTGATCATGTCAGAACTTACTTCCACTTCCTGATGTCACAAAGTCACTTGAAAGTGTGTTCCTGGACTTAAAATGCTAAAAATTGAAACATTTCTTGCATTGCTGTGATCTGTACTGGAGCTCACCTGTTTGTGAACCTGGGGGGACTATAAACCTAGATAGAGATTAAGGCAAACCCTACGCATTATGGCAGCATCGATTCGAGCTCATAGTGGTTTGGAATAGCATGAAATACCAGGTGACGAGTCCAAATTAGTACGGCCCGCGTCTAGGCCGATCCAAGTTCGGTAAAAGGTCCAACCGGCCTCTGGAAGCTTCTAGGTCGGTTCCTAATTACTTTCTTACCAAGAAAGGGTTCTATAACCTAGCTCTATAAATAGGTATCAACCCCTCATGGTTAAAGGTACGCTTTATGCACCCGATTTATACCCTTATTACGAATAATGATACTGACTTAAGCATCGGAGTGTCTATCCTCGGGAGACCCCGAGGTCCTCCTTTGTAGGTTTTAGGGTTTCAATACCGCCATGGCCGCTAGTTAGTTGAAACGGAGCGTCGATACAATTCCATGCTTCATCAAGTGGCATGCTCGGTGGGACCCGACTAGGTTTTTCCCGTTAACAAATCTCCTTTCGAAAAAGGTGAAGATGAGATCGAACACCTCCTTTGAGTTACTGATGATGGAAGATAAAGAACACCATTCATCAGTGTCTCCCTAATACGGCCCAGTTTTTGCCCAGCATGATCAGATATCCTTTTTCTGCATCCATTGTTGATCTCGGTGAACATCGATCATGCCCGCCGAATCATAGTGTCCAGGTTTTGCTGTTCGATTTACATATATTGACAAGGATGCATGTTTTTCGTCAATCAACATGCTATTATGCGTGAAAAAGGATTCAGATCTAATGGCAATTGGCATATTTACTTAACTTCTCATTATTTAACTAATCGAAAGAGAAAGTTGCGTGCATCTAATTATTCATTAATTGGCATGTTTAATTGAACTCATGTCTTGATCGTTTGTGCAATGCACATACTTGTTTGCCTCTTCGAGTTTTTACTAGTTGGTGAAAGGTTCACGCAACATTTGATCTCAAGGATGGAAACTCCTGAGCACCGTTAACTTTGCGGAACAATGAATCGATTTTTTATGGTCTTGGGAGCATTCTCGAGATGTGTCTCCTTTGAGTCTAGATAGCCAAGGACGGTGAACGGGGATCATTGTTCACACAAGGCAAAAACTCGGACGCATAATCGGATCCAGAAGGTGCTGATGGCTAGAGCATCTCTATTAAATCAAGGGTGATTGATCATGATCACATACACGATCTTTGTCAAATCAAGGCATTCAGGACAAACTACTCTCGCGTGTGAATCAAACCTAATTATTTCGATCACCCGAAATTCGTTACCATTATGGAGGGCGTACTACAACTTCTCCTCCTACATAAAAGTGCTCTATGTTGTTAAGCAACACCATCGAGATCGGACATCCAGCTCACATAAAAGCTCGAAGATTCAGCTTGCTAGGCTTTGTGCCTTTGCGTCGAGGGTGCGCTCGTCGAGAAACTCAACATCGTAATACTTGGATTTCGATAGCACCGTTTCGAAGCCATCTCATAAGGGCTCATTCGAGTACTCAGATAAGTTTCTTTAACATTAATGTTGGGCAGTTTACTTGTTCATCTAACAGACATGCTTGAAGTACTGTTTAGACCACCATGAATAATTTGACTACACTGTCATCTATTTCATTCGAATTAGTCAATATGATACCCCTACATAAACTCTTCAACCTTGAAAATAGTTTTTGTTTTTGTTATTTTTGGGGTGTATGCGCCATACATAGGCCACAATAACAAACACTAAATGGCTGATTTGTACAATTCCTCATGAATCCATATCTCATTTGGGATTAGATACGATTCTTCCATGCTTTTATTAAGAGTCATATTGAGTTTTCTCATGCAATATTTACGATCTCGGTAGATCTCACCTTTTCTACTTGGCTAAAAATGTTTCGGCTTTATGACTCATTATCGAGAGTTAACTTAGTTCCTATCATGAGATACTCTGACAATTATGATCAAACATTTCGTAATCTCATTTGTGTAGTATAGGTGTGGATGGCTTGAACGTCTCCATGCGAATATCAGCGATTGAACGCAAATCAAGTACATAAGCTTAGCAAAACGAAAGCACCCAGTTGACTAAGGAAAATGCTGTCCATCAAGTTTGATTGAAGAGACTACACGGCCTCCTTGAACCAAACACGATCGAAGAGCAAATCAGCCAGTGAGGGCTACGATGCCCCAGTCACGGCAGAAATCCAAGCAGCAGCAGCCGCTCGACATGGATTCTAAATTTCCTGAAAATTGTAAAATGGTCCTCAATGATTTTATTATTTATACTCTGACGCTAAATTTTCTGGTTGCGCAGCATAGTTCCTAGACCGTAAGGGCCTACTTAGACAAAATTCTCTTTAACTAAGTAGATTTTATGCTTTAGTCCTTTCGAATATTATTTATCATCCTTGCCTCTAATGATTTCATTGTTTTCATACAAGTCCTAACTTTACAGCAAGGGGCGACCTGAGATTTCAAAGGTCACATCTCCTCGGAAGGGTGCACAACTTCCTCGAGAATTGAGGTGGAGGCCACTCGTTTGATTCCAGCAACACAAGCTGAAGCACCCAAAAATGCACGAGGCAGAGGCTTTAATGACAGCTATGCAAGCATAGCTCGATTTTTTTTCGGGGGACCAAGGGCACATACAATCGTGATCACATAGATTGGCCTATGACAAGGGTAGAGACAATCTCCTTGACCGATTTGAAAAGAGATAAGTATCCCTAAACTTACTTGAGCCATGATACCATATTTCTAACCAGACCTCTGTAACGAATGCAATTCTGGTTATACTCTTTGAATTACACAGTGCCTCCCTTGAGGTGATCTAATGAAATGTGTGTAGTTACGATAACTTGCCCCAACTTGGAACAGTTGTACTACTTGGTTTTGCAGGTCTTACAATAAGACAATTCGAGTAGCATCCTTCTCGAATTACGAAGCTACTCATTCTAAGGGGCGATGATCTGCTCGAAGAATAAGATAAGTATTAAGTTTACTCGTCAAATTCTGAGTCTTTAATATGGGATATTTCACCTCCATCATAAGATTGATATATTGCACATATTTATCTGAAATTGTCAGCATGATATGTCCCTCAATATACTCATGAGAACTATATGCAACTTACACGACAACATTTTTTGACATGCCATATGACTTGTACATGCAACATTACTTGTCAATTACATACTCTCCAAATACTATATCTTTTCGAATAAACAATATATATTTGAAAATATCGCACATGCATATTTTTGTGTCATCCCCTGATCCACTCAGTCGATTCCTCAAGGATGAGATGGATTCATAGATCAAGGATCAAGTTTCACTGGCATCACCCTTGTGACACTAACTCTAATATACATATAAGGACTGATTTAGTGTATCAAATCACATAGACTATAGATCACACCATGGAATTAGGGAATAATCGACTGAGTTAATCGTTAACCTATTCTCCATGCATGCACTGTGTGAATCTGCTAGTGTTCATATCATTACATCTATGGTCATCCATTATCTAGCCCTCATATGCATCAATTCTTAGGATACAATCATAGAGTCATAACACCGATGCTTTCTCGAGTAGAATCTAATTGCTATTTTACGATCTATATCTTGATCATAGCACATCATATTGTTCGCCTCCATACTTCTCGAAAAGTATGATCTTGAGAATACTAATGTAAGGCCTTCTATCATGAAGGCATACTTGATTTTCGAGAGAACTTCTACTTCTGCAGGACTTGCAAACGAGCAAGACGAAGGTAGCTCCTCCATGACACAAGTATGTAATCAGGGCGCCGTAGCCTCGAACCAAAGAGACACCAATACACGGTACATGTCAAGAATGAGCTCCGTCGACAACAATGAGGAGTCTCTCAACAAATGGGGCCGCAATGACTTTCACATCTGATGGTCCAGCTATAACTCTTTAGGGGTCCGTAGTAAGTACAAACCCGCGGAGAAGCATTGCACGATCTCCGCGGCATTATTTCATAGCTGTCGTGAGATAGCCAAACCATGGCTTCAATAGCCTTGTTTATATCGTGGTGAGATCGTTCCACTTCTTACATTTTACATCTCAAAATGACTGTTTTTTGAAGGGGATAGGCTCCCTCAATAATATATTGCATTCTATGTCATTTCTCGTGCTTTGGTAATTTATTACTCACTAATTCAACTATAAATGCATGAGTAAGTGTTTTGTCAGGATCAGAGACCAGGTTGGTTGATCATGGTGTCTATGCTTGAGAGGCATCCCCATCATATTAATGTGTCCTTGGTAGTTATCATCGAAGAGTTCAGGAAAATACTCCCTCGACACTAAGGTACACTCAAATGATCCCTTCGACAATGCATCCTCGATCGAGGAACCAATGTATATATTATCAAGCTCTGAGAGCCTTTATGACCTTATCAGATGAAGGTACACACTAT